GGAATCGAACTAGGGACCTCCTTTTCTGGTATTCAGAGGGCCGTTCAGGAAAAATTGAACATGGTTCTGTGGTTCCCGCATCTGCCCCTATATCATGCAAAAGACCGTTTTCAAAAAGCTTGGCACGCCCTGAAAGACCTTCCTGGTCAGTGTACTTGCGCAAGCTCCCAATCCTACCTTGGGATTCGTGGAATACGTTATTAGACAAATCATGGGAATGAAATTAATGGTTTTCGATAATGAATTTGTTAAGGTTATAACCATCTCAATGGAATCCTTCTACAAAGAACTTAGTGAAGAAGAACGAGCGCGAGCAGAACTCGGACTATACGACTTTGATCACCCATGTAGGTTACGGTATCGGTAAAGTCTCTAAAAAACAAAATATCTCTTATCCGCCTGTCCGTCCATCCGCAAAATGCTCGTTTACAGAGAAGGATAAAATATGGTAATGGCTACCGTAATCGGGAACTTTTTGATTTGTTGGTATTTGACAGAGGAGTCGTTTTGATCATCATGACGTCCTCCTACGATGTAAGAAGTTACTACACTGGTGTGCAAAACTTAAGGACGAGACAGATGAAGTAACATAACTTTTTGATAGCTTTGTGGACCGTTTAACGGTTCCTGTCAACTGCTTTCTTACTGCCTGTAGCAGCTCTTTGTATGTGTGGTTAGGTTCCATAGAGTCATGTTACTCGCCAGTAACACGTCATTGGAAAAGCTACGTTCGTCCTTAAGTTTTGCACACCAGTGTATATAGTCACCAATTCTCCACAAAGTGATTGGTTAGGGTCGAGGGTCAGCGCTTGTGCGATATACGTTACGTACGAATTGTATACTCAATCACTGTCGGAGTTAAAAACAATCTCCGAGATTAAACTGATGTGTTATTACTCTTGTTAAAAACAGTAGAGATGAGAAGTGTATGCTAGTAAAGAAAGGAAAATCGTCAACTAGGCCGAAAATGAGCTTCCTTTCTTCAGCAGCAGCAAAGAGAAGTAGCAATGAGTTGTGGGCGGGTTCAATGGTGTTGGGCGGGGCCAGTGCCGCATCATGAAGCCTTGTCGCCCGGCCTTGTCAAATCATCCCGAAAGTTGTGTATATGCTCCTCGCTTGCGTACCACTGATTTTTTTTTCAAGGAAGGCTTAATTCCAATCAGAAATCCCGTATCTTGCCTTCAAGTGACGGAATGGCAGGCAAGAAACTAAAGGAATAACATTAGGCTATTGGCTATTCCAGTCCATAATAGCCGCAAGACGGCCAAATTGTAAAACGAGGATTACTGCTTTCAGCAGCATTCGACTTCGATAAATTGGCGGACACGATTTCTCGTCTGGAGCAGGGGTGCACGGTAACCATACCACGCTACGATTACTTGACCAGTAGGAGGTAAGAGTCGCTCAAATTCGCTCTAAGTTTTGAAAATGAGCAGAGCAAGTATTCGTTGAGAAGAATGTCGTTGCAGATTTTCCGTTTCCGCTCAATTTTATGTCGGCTTAGTTTTGCCATGAGGGTCATGGCGGCGCAAATGTTTATCAGACCTTTATAGATGTTTTTCTCATCCTGTTCTCCCTTTCCTTTAATTACCTTCGTATGACAAAAATGCTAAGTTTCACCTTAGGGGTCTTCATATCTGAAGTCCATTTGATTGCAGTTTTTCGTCTCCTGATTTCGAGCCGGTACTACTTCAGGTCCGGGCCAAAAATGTGTATCCTTTCAGTGATGGCATGCTATGTCTTGAACCAGCAGACGTTATCATTGTCGAAGGAATTCTGACATTTTATGATGAACGAATCCGCGAGAAATTCACTATGAAACTGTTCGTTGACGCAGATGCAGACGTACGATTGGCAAGGCGAGGTGAAGTGGTGGCAAGCTGGAGCTGCTTCAGATCCTAATACAACTTAAACATTCAGTGAAACGTGATACTGTCTACCGGAAGCGCCCCTTGGCCGTGGTTCTCTCCCAATACACAAATTTGGTGAGTCTCCTTTTCTGGCAATATAGGGCAACGAGGCATTCACATGCGGTGATAGAATTGACG